TTCCTTTAAGGTCTCAGTAGTTTGAAAAATTCATGCATAAAGCATGCTTCAAGCGGCATTTACATTTTTGTAGTGTGTGCTGCAACAGTATAGATTTTACTTTCTAGATGTACACTTTCAGGTCAACAGGACTGTCTAAAGAATAAAACTTACAGAGATCTCCGGGATTTGATAGGCATACATTTTCATTATTCCCCAGCACCTTGGGCACCTCCAAACATACTTGCCCTCCTTTAGTCAGAAAATTATAATGCTTTCTTAATGCACATGCCCATCTATGCCCGTACCAGCTAAATAGCTCCTGTACTGATTTCCATATTAAAGACAGGTAGGATTTAACTATTTATGACACGGAAGTCTTAATTGTACTACAGAATAATTCAGAATGGATTAAGTTTATCAAGTAGGTTTATTTCATTCCTGCAGTTAAGAGGTCACATTACAAAATGAAAGCTACATCTATTTCAGAATTATCTGGACCTACACAGGTGAATTTTAGATTAGAATTTGATTATATTATCTTACGTTTTCCAAACATCTCTCAGAGCAAAATGCAAGTGGTCTATCGGAATTAATCTGCCCTGGGGGAAATAAAATATAACCTTTCTTCCAAAAAACGACAAAACCAAACAACAAAACCCTACAAGCCCTAGTTGGCTCCAAATTCCTTTCAACTTTCCTCAAAGCATAGTGTTGTCCAGGTTACCCTGGAAATCAGCTGTGGCTTTTTCTCAGGACTGATTTGAAAGTGTACACAGGATAGAAAATGTATTCTGCAGACAATTACAAGTTTATGGAAAACTCTGCAAGTAATGTGGAGAGACAGAAAAAAGATGAAAAAGATGAAGCAATAATTTACTACTAATTACAAGAAATAACCAGCCATTATAGTGATATGTTTGCCAATACTCTACAAAGAAGCAAGTACTCTATTGTCTGACAACAAATTGTACCTAAATAACAAATGCAAGAAGTTTTGAGGTAATAAAGAAGGCATGAAGAATGAACAGATCATATTGCAAGTATAGAATAATTTTTAGAGAAAGTGTCAAATATTTTTGCGCTTATCCCACATAATCAGGGATCTCTCTATTGACAAAATGTTTTACCCTGTCTTTGAAAAAGGAAAACAAAAACATATTTTAAGAACTTTTTTTTCCCCTACAGAAAAACTTACACATACTCATTTAACGGTTGTTAAAATAATGCACATTTTCTCCTGTTTGTTAGCTGAAGCATCAAATGACTAACACAACCATCCATTCTGATGAGTCACTGCACAATGCGTGAGCTGGCACATGTGAAAACTTTCCCAGATCTAAAATTACAATTTGCATTCTCAGGGCCAAGTGTTTTGCAGCTAATTAGTAATGTGGGTACTGAAAAAACCCCACACCAAACTCCTTATAGCTCACGCAAACTCTATTCACTCACACCTTTGAAACACTTTCCAATCAGCCAAAAGTATCTGGCACACATTTGCAGCCTGTATGCACAAAAAGGATTCAAAACAATCTCTGACTGAAATCCCACAGCTAAGTAACTGAGTTCATTTGTTGCAAGCTCTCTGAAAAGGGGGCAATGACTAATAGCAAAGCTGTGCTGGTGTGTCACTGCATGAAGCAAAGAGGCAAATATACTCGACCATTTCTATGATTCAGAGCTGGGCAAAAAAGGTTTTGGCACTAGGTTCTGTACCTAGCTCTAGCTCAGGAATCAACCACTTCAACCACTTTTGGAATTTACTGCAGTATTTATATATTTATACATATATATATATATCTCCTTCTCTTCCCTTTTATGGTAAGAGTATTGTGGACTGGGCACAGAACTCTCAGGGAGATCCTCTGTATTCTCCAACTCACTCTTCTTCACTGACTTTCCCATGCAGTCAGAACTGAGGTTTGTCTCTCCTTTTTTCTCCCTCCTTTTCTTTCCTTCTCAATTTGCTTCACAGCTAGTGAAAAGAAAGCAGAAAAATTCAGTGAGGATGCAGCTTTTGAAAAGGAAAGTAGGTTGGAGTAGGATTTGCCCGTTATTAAACTATCCAGAGGACCTAAATATTCCTAAACTCAAAAGGCCATTGCAGTTGTAGGGAAAAAACAAGAAAAAAGGTGCAGCTTGCACATCAAGCTATGAAAGCAACTGTTGAGGTTTTCTTTTCAATCTTGTCACCCAGAAGAGAAAATTATTCCCTTTATTTTGCCAAACAGACAGGAGGCAAACAGCACATGCTATTGCTGACTGAACTTCAAAATCAAAATTGACAAATCCTGGAGGAGGAAGCTACTATTATAAAGCCAAGCACGACTGATAATGCTACCTTGACTTCCTCAGCTTATGCCTGCTCTGCTGCTCAACAGCCCCTAAGGCCCAAATGACATTACTCCGGATTCTAAGACAAGCCAAGAAAGGGAATGATAATTTTGCCATAAAAAAAAAAAAGAAAAGAAGAAGGAAAAAGAGGCTGATACAGAAGACCAGCCACCATTATGGTTTTTGTGCTGTGATAAGCAGAGGAAGGGGACTGTGTTAAAACTCAGAATGCTTCTTGAAAATAGCAACAGTGCTATTCATGACATTTAAATGAAGGAAGAAAGATGACAGAGTGTTAAGGTCAGGGCTGAAAAAATCCAGAAGTTAATATAACTGTGGTCCCTGATATTTTTCCCTTTTAAATTTGTGATTAAAATAATGATGATTATTATTGAAAGAAGTTGTCTTGCTCTCTGCATAGAAATAAAAATGATGCCATTAATTGCAAAGGGCGCTTTGTGGGCTTATTCTCCCTCTCTTTCTCTGTACACATATGTACACATCCATATCCATCCACACATACATATATATGAGGGCATGGGGTGTAAAGTAAAATAAAAGAATCGATTGATTACATCAGTGACCGTTTTAGAATGGAAAGATTGCTTCAAGAAATCTGAACATCTCAAGAAAAAGAAAAAGAATTGGTATGTCATAATTCATGCCTTTAATATTTATCCTACATTATCATGGAATGGTTTGATTTGGGGAAAAGCAAACACTTCCCCAAAGTTTAAGAGTAAGCTTGTACGAGCATCTTAAATTTCTTGTGTTCTACATGGGTTGGTTTCAGATTAAAAATGCAAGCTGGCCTTCTAACTGCAACTTGTGATACATCACTGTGAAATAGAAGCATGAAAAGTACAGCCATGCAAGTTAAGATTCGCATGTTTAGACTTCCTTTTGCTCTCGAGGGTTTGAATAACAGACCTGAAGCATTAATATTCTGTCTGTGAATGTGCAAAGCTTATTTTTTTGCTGAATTCACAAAATTAACCCAGTAACTTTAAAGCAGACTCCAAGGCTGAAAGATTTCATATAGCTTCAAGTCCTTGTAGTGCTGTCAGTTTTCACTGGTAGAGGGAGTAATGCTCAGTTCACAGAAACTCAAATTGAACTTCTGGGTTTTTTTTTATTTGTAAATTGAAAAGAGAAGCTAAAGCTTTAAAAAATGTGTTATTCAAACTCTCCAAATACAGCACTTGGAAAAGAAATGCTAAAGTTGGCATAGAATCAAACTATTAGAGCAAAACAAAGCAGAAATCATCTGCCATTTCAAAGAAGGAGTTGACCCTAGGTGCAAAATTAAGTATCTACTTCAGGCCTATTGCCATCTCACTATTAATGCTGAGGTGAGTATTTCATATGCTTTGGCAAAAGAAAAATGTATTTCCTAAGTCTTGTGAGACATGTAACAAAGAGGACACCAAAGTGAAATCATACATTAACTGTATAACGGAGAAGAGGCCCATGGTACAGGCTGTAGCTAGGGAATGCAACTTTCATCGGTTTGTGTCTTTCCAGTGCAAAGCTCTTCAAACATCACCAAGCCGATTGATGTGGATTTGTATTTCACCTTCCAAATTCAAGAGAACTTAGTAAGCACACAGTAATTTTATTGTTTAAAGGAATGGCTCATGTGCCTGTGTCTTTTACATAAAATTTAACTGAGGTACATTTATTTATTCTCTTTCCTAGGCTTATCATAATGAAATAGAGAACTATTTTATAACTAGAATGTCCCTTTTAGACTGTCTCTGTCTATTGTCTATTTGGATAAATGAAGAAATTATGAACAACATCCAAAAAATCCCCTCTGCCTTTAAAATACTGCAAAAGAACTAGGACCTCATTTTTATGCAGATATTCCTGGCTTGCAAAAAGTAAAAAGATAAAGAAATGGATCTGTGACATGAAAATTGGTTGCTGTAAGTGAATGGTGAGAAAGCTATTTTGAGTTCTTAGTTATCTCCAATCTCTACACTTTAAGTACTAGAACTTCATTTGGTAACAGAAAGTGTATTTTTGGACTTTTTTGTTTGCTTTTCCTGTTTTGGTTGAAGCTGTACAGATGGGTAACTACAGGTCTCTCTGGACTTTCATTTTTTAGGTGTGCTTTGAAACAGGGAGCCAGAGGGTTTTTACGCTTTCTGGATTTGGGTAGCTTTAAGAGGAGGAAACTGGCTGCTTTCCAACGTCAGCCTGGCTCAGTATTACTACTATCAAATAGAAATTTGATGAATTCTAGAAATTGAAAGTATTAATAAGACAGCAGTTTGGATCTTGGAGGGTTGAACACATGTAGGGATGAAGAAGAAGAAAGTATACTGGAGTCCTTTCTATGATCCTTCTTTTGCTTGACTGTCAATTTTGGAACAGGAAAAAAAGACTGAAAGGTGAGAATGCAGATTTTTTTTATGCCTGGAAAACAGGATATGTAATTTTTATACATTTTTTTCTGTGATTAGCATATGTGGGGTTACAGCTGTTATTCCTATTACCAATTTATTCACCTAGAAGTTAGGATGGAAAATACTGCGTATCACTGTTTACCATAGTTCTCTAGTTCTCTAGTTCTCTTCATGATATTTTATATACATTACTTTTGGGTTTTTTAAATTAATATTCATTTTTGCCGTAATGATGTGTTACTATATTAAAAAGCAAAACCAGACTCGCAAAGGCAAATAAGAAGGCTCTCTTGATCATCATAATTAAACGAGTTAATTTCTTCCAGAATTCACTCAGACTGTCTCTGACGTTCACTAATACCTGATTGCCATCTTTATTTACTGCAAAAAAAAAAGTGCCCAATATTTCCTGTGAAGTAAACTTACTCATTCCCACTAGGAAAATTATTGCTTGGCTATACTCAAAGGAAATCATCTTTCCAACAGCCAGCCCCACAATCTACAGAAGCGTGTTAGTCCTCATAAAAAGTCATTAACATTTATAGATAAACTCTAAAGAGAGAAACTAACATGCACATATAGAACAAGAAAAAGAATGAATCCTTGTATCCTTACATAAAAATCCTTTTCATGCCAATGGGAGTTTGCAGAAGAGAAGAAGAATATCCAACAAATGAGTGACACAGACTAAACTGTTCAGAAAAGTACATGATTTCAGTAGGACTGAGAGATTAATTTCTGCCTTGGGTTATAACCGATTTTGTAAAACAGGAGGCATTATTTATTGCCAGATTCTCAAAGATATATACACACCAATTCCCAAATCAATATGCATGCTTCTAAATCAAAGACAAGCAGGCTCCACTGAACCAGGTACCACCTTGACCCCATCCCAGGGACTGCTTTCCCAGATGGCCAGGCTGTGGCTGACTGCAGCTGCTGCCCCCAGCCCAGCATGGCTCTCCTTGCCTGCGGCTTTGGGACAAGTCTGGTCGGGCAGGGAGGGCACTGTCCTACCCCATGGCCCTCGAGATCTCACCAGGCCAGCCCCAGACAGGTTGCTCCCTGGAAGGTGGGTCTGAAGGAGAGCTCTAATGTCAGGCCCTTCTCACACAGGTTCAGACCTGAACAAAAGCCAGTACTTAGACTATACTGAACAGGATTTGCCATTATCTGTGCTGACAGTCAGCTGTGGTCAGGGCCACAGTTCACAACACAACATGGCTAGCAACATTTTGATTTGGAAGGAAGCCCAGCAGAGCTAAGACCAATGTAATAGCAGTCAATAGCGCTAAGCATGGCAGAGAGGTCTATCTGAAGAATCATGCATGTGATTGACTCCCTTGTCTAAGAACAGAAGAAAGTAGTTCAGCAAAACAACAAGTTTTGCTTCAGTATTGTGCTCTAGCCTGCGAGGGCTGAAGGATACCAGTAAATGATGGCCAGTCCTGGTGGCTGCGTCAATAGCTTCTAACCATAAAATACAATGAGAAAACTAAGGCAGCAGTGAGGAAAAAAACCCCACACTGAGGCACTTGCCTTCCCAAGGAATCAATTGAAAATAAAGAAAGGAAAGAGTTATATTCCAGTTTATATTTTCAGTCAAGTGTTTTGTTTATCTTGAATAAACCCTTTTTCTGCTAGATTTGAGTGCCCAGGGAAGTGCAGTCATACAATGTAGGAAACTGAAGTCTTTTATATACGCACCCCGGGATACAAAATTATCACTGGGTGGGTGAAAGGCTGCAACACGAGCCCATTAAGGAGAAGATTATAAATCCAAAATCAAAGAGACTCTTTCATGGTCCTGTATGTGTTTCATATTACTTTTTCATAGTTATTAGTGCTTTAAAAAGATGAGAGCAAGTTTAATACCATTTTTTCCTGGCATATGGCTACCAGCAGAGCAGTTATTTTTAAATTAACCCTAATGTCTGTGCCAGCTTTTTTTCAGTGCTGGCATGCTATGATACCTATGCTATGTCACTACTGGGACTCTAAAAGAACTGTCATGGTTTAAGCCCACCTGGTAACTCAGAACCATGCAGCTGATCACTCGCTCCCTGCTTTCTTTACCTCCGACTCCTGGAGGAATGGGGAGGAGAATGGAAAGAATGTACCTCCCATAGGTTAAGATAAGAACAGTCCAGTAACTAAGGTATAACACAAAACCACTACTGCCACTGCCAATAATAATAATGATAGGGGGAAAAACAAGGGGAGAGAATACAATTGCTCGCCACCTGCAGACCGATACCCAGCCCGACCCTAGCAGCGATCTGGGCCTTCTGGGTAACTCCCCCCAGTTTCTGTCCTGGGCATGACGTTCTGTGGTATGGAACACCCCTTTGGCTAGTTTGGGTCAGGTGTCCTGTCTCCGCTTCCTTCCCATGCTCCTCTTCACCAGCAGAGCATGAGACTGAAAAGTCCTTGACTGGGGTAAACATTACTGAGCAACAACTAAAAACATCGGCATGCTATCAGCACTGTTCTCAGGCTAAAGTCAAAAACACAGCACTGCACCAGACACTAAGAAGGAGTAAAATGACTGCTACTGCTGAACCCAGGATGGGTGGTGAGGCTGCCAGCTACACCCAATTAATGTCTAATTCTGGACCAGGAGGGGGCTGCGCTCTGGATAAGAATGCATAGGGAATGGAGTCATGCCAACAAAATTCACTGTACCTGGAACATAAACAGATTCAAAACCAGCACTTTAAGTAATCTTCAGAGAATTGATTCCTTCCTGGTACAATTTAGATGCTATATAACAAATTGTATTCTTTTGTGGTTCAAGGCAGCTTGAAACTCTATGTTTTAGTTATATAACATATTTGAACTCTGCTATGCGTGGGATTAAATTTACTTGAAGCCTGTGGCTAATGTAAACCATCACCTTTTAGAAATGACAAGTGACATCCTAATCTATAGACAGTTAATCACCATTTTGCAAAATACAAATTGCCCTTCTCAAGTTGCTTTTATTTATTTCTTTTTCTCCTTTTCTACTCAGCATATCAATGCTTACTACAATAATTCATTTGTAGGAGCACTAGGTATTGCTTTAGGTGAACAACTCAATTCACCTAGGCTAGACTTAGAGTAGGCCATCCATGACAACACTAATAAATTATGCATGAAATTGATTTAATCTACCTTTGAGATATAATTTGTCCTGCAAAAAGTTGAGTGTGCAGTTCACTCATGTTTTTATTTCATTTTCTATTCTGTGGCCTGCTTTGCTTTATATTTATTACAATCATTTCAGTTTTCTAATCAGAAAAAAACTTCACCGCATTCTCTTCTGAGATTGTTTTTCTGTTCACTTTGATTTTTACTGAGGACAACACAAATATCTTAACTTAGATGTCCTTTATGATCCTTTCCACCTCAGCCACTCTCAGCCCTGAATCTATTTACAATATTGCTCCATTCATAGAATGTACCCAGTAAGGCACTCTGTTAGTCTCAAATAAAATTCATCATTGTTAACAAGATCCCTATCGACTTTAGTTGCCACTAGTTCTGGACTTCTCTGCCTTTGTAAATTTGGTAAAGAACTAAGTCCTCACCCAAATAACATGAGATTCTACATTATCATGTGGAAAGAACACCGCATTTTGAGGATTCATATGTTCCAATAACACGGACTGATAAAACATGAAACTTGTGTTTCCCTCCTTGACAATGGTTCTCGTGCTCCAACACAAACTAAATGCATTCTGTCCACTGTAATAATTCATATATTTAATTCTTAGATACGCGAATCACATATTTAAGAATTATCATCAAAATCCACATTCATCCCATGTATGTTATAAATTTTGCTCACATCAAAAAAAGCATTCTGCACACCAAAATCTAAACAACATCATGACACTGAACAAAAGTGGAGAATTTACACAGAATCCACCCCTTGTACCTTCATCACAATTATAACCATGTAAAATCCCCACAATCATTCCGCTCCTCGCTCTTTAGCTGTATTCAGTCTACAGTTTGCTTGCTACCTCTCCCAGTTACTATTCTTGAATTCCTCATGCCCCATGTTAGGTGCAAGGACTGTGGTAGGTTGACCTTGGCTGGATGCACTACTTGGCTGGTGCCTACCAAGCTGCTTTATTACTCCCTTCCTCATCAGGACAGAATAGGAGAAAATAAGATGGGGAAAATACCTCGTGGCTCAAGAAAAAGGCAGTTGAATAAAACAAAAGCAAAGGCCATGTGCAGAAACAGTAAAGGGAAACAGAATATTTATTCTCTACTTCGTAGGTGATGTCCAGCCACTTCTTAAGAAATGAGGTTTCAGTACATGTAGCAGTTGCTCCAGAAGACAAACATCATAATAATAAATGCCAATCAACCCCCCCTTCCTTTCCCTGAGCTTTTACTGCTGAACATGTCATGTTATGGAATATTCCTTTGGTCAGTTGGGATCAGCTATCCTTGCTAGGTCTCCTCCCAAGGTCTTTCCCACCTCCAGCCTACTGGTAAAGGACAAATGTTGGAGAGATGGCCTTCATGCAGTACGAGCACTGCTCAGCAGCAGCCAAACCACTGGTGTGTTATCTGCACCTTTGTAGGTACCAATGCAAAGCACAGCACTATGAGGACAGCTATAGCAAACTTATCTCTATCTCATCCAGACCCAATGCAACAAATGTGCTTTCTCCTCTGAAATATCTGGTTGACATGGTTGGCTTCAGTGCTTTCAGTGTGAGGCAGAAAGCTTCACTAAGCTTTCATAAAGCTGCTAGCAGAGCTGAGTTGGAAAATTCTGCTTGCTTACTTGTTTTGGCACCTGTCTGCAGCTGAAACATGGAACATGATAAATCCCTGAATCAGTAACAGAAAGAAAAAAAAAGAAAAGAAAAATAAAAAAATAGAAGGGGAAAGTGAGGAGGTAGAATGACTCCTAGAGCAAGGGACTTCAGAAAGCATGCATTGAATATTATCTGATCTATATTTGCAAATGATTCTCATAAGTTCATCCATGTGGCAAATTCTGATGTACTGACTTTAAAGTTCCCCATGAATGCATTTTTTAATCTAAAGTGAAATCTCACATGAAAAAAAGCTCTTTTATTTAGACTGAGAGAAAGTTTCTCTTTGTTCTAAAATAAAATTCTTAGCCTTTCCTTATTCTCTTTACCTCCCAACCTCAAGAAATATTAATTTCTAAAAGGCAGCTCAGGAGCCTCTACGAAGCTTTCTGGCAGTGTTTCGACAATGTGACAGTGTTCAGATGTTGCAACGGTCTGCACTGTATTTCAATAAATGAATATGTTACTTACTATACACGAAAGGGAGGGTTCTTATTCAAGCTGTAATGTCACCATCTTCTGCTGACATAACTAAATAAATCTTACAGTAGTTGTCTA